AGGTCAAAGAGTGATCAAATAAAAATTTTTATTCCTCTATATTTGAATAAATTTAAGGTAATTTGGAATTAACAATAAAATCGAATTAAATTCAAGATCAAGTCATTTTATTTAGGTACTTCACTGCTCCATTATAAAGAAAAATAGCAATGATAAAGTGATTTAAAAATTCGCACGTCAATTAAAATGCAACTACAATTGCATTTTTTTTTTTAAGTTTAACACTACCAAAGTATCGTTATTATTTATAGATTTCTATTCTATCAGTTATTCATTATAAGTTCAATCTATATTACTTAAAGTAACGTTAAAACTGAAAGTGTATATTTAAATATAGTTCATTTAGAAAAATTACAAAACCATAAATAAATAAGTAATAAGTAAGATTATTTTCGAAATTTATAAGCGCTTGTGAGAAGGTTGTGTTATTTTAACAAAATACGTAGCTTGAGGATATACAATGTTCTCGTCTTTGTATAAACTGACTTTCATCTCGTGGCGTAGTCGACTAAAAGGAATATATATATATATATATATACATGAATCATTGCAAATACGAGTTGCGTTCATTGTACATGAAATGTTTTTTTTTAACAATAATCTAGAATATTAATGCAAATTTCATTTACCATTCCAGCGTTGTTTTATGCAAAGTATTAATTGATATTAATTTAAAAATAAAAGAAAAATTTTATGTTACGTGTTAGGAAGAAGATTGTTAATATTATTGCAAACCGATAGATCGAAATATCATCAATAAATAATTACAACCACATCATGATTATTATTGTTTTGCATAAATTATTTAACAATTTTTAGATATTTTTCCTTAAATTTCCAAAGAAAATTTAATTTTTTATTTTAATAAAATGATATTACGTCGCATATCCCTAATCAATTAAATTGCTAAAGTAAAGTAATTATTACCATTTTCTCTCTTAATAAGAAATTTAAAAAAAAGATTGGGATTTTCAGATCTTTATTTTGTAAAATACTTTATATGGAAAAAGACAATTAAATTCCTCAACAAAATATTGCTATTTAATAATATACTAAATATATTATTGTTGAATAGTGCGAGTAAATAAATGTACTATTCACTTAAAAACTTTTATTACCTTATTCCTTATGTCAATATACAATAATAACAATTGCAAAGACAAAGCATTAATTGGTTATGGATTTGTGCATATTTTTATAGTTCTATGAACTTTCATAATCTTCCGTACTTTTTATATAACTTTTTATTAGCTTTTATAATTTATACAAATGTTAAAATGATTTTAATATAATTTTCAATTAAATTGTTTCCGTTCTTTTAAAGTAATAATAAATAATGATAGTTTCACTATTGCAATACCATTATTTTCAATATTTAATATCAAATCAGCTAACACGATATTTGTATGTAACTTAAAACCTTGAAAATATAATTTTATTATTTAATGTATAATCGTCCTATAGAAAAAATGAAATTTCCTGTAGATATTTAAATATAATTATTTCTTTATGTTATATACTATACGTCTCAAAGTAAATAATACGTTTATATTCATGGTTTAAATTATTATATTAATTGAAAAATTTTACCCATATTTAGTCACACTCGTATTTGCCTGTTCGCATGAAATTATCTAGTTTTTAAAAGTATTTTGTTTAAAAATTATCATGTGTCTATAATAATATGTAGTATGACAATCAATGATTACCAAGAATCGTACATAATAATATCTATTCATTATTAATTCGTGTTAAATTTTCTTCTCACCCTTTTATTACAACATAATATATTGCATAACATAATATTACATATTTATATTTTATTTTCCGAATGGAAAAATAATGTTTCAGTTGAACCATTTAACATCGTTTTCTCCTGTGACCATCAATTTCATTTCAATTCATAATATTTTGGAATTGAGAATACGTGTGTATGAATGGAAGAGGGTCGATGCACGTGACTGAGAATTTGTAGTCCCAGAACAATCAGAAGCTGATTACGCCGCCTTCGTATGGTATGTTTTAGGTATCTCCCGCAAGCAGTGGAAAAATGCTGCCGATATTTCTTAAAAGAGTAGTAAGTATTTCATTTCAGTAGTCTTACCGAGAAATCCAGTAGGCCAGCCCGAAATCATTATTATTCCTCGGTCATCCATTTCTATTAAAGTTCTTAATTCATTTTGTTATATTTGATAACTGTATACCGGCTGATAGCTCAGGACTATATCATTACATTTTTATGAAAAATCAACCGCACAGGGATCGTAGATTTTTTCATAAAAAAAAAAAAAAAAAAAAAAAAAAAAAAAAAAAAAAAAATTTGATTTACATAAGAAAATTATTTTGTTAATTTTAATTCGTATTAAAACAAATTTATTATTTCATTACTTTTAAATTGGAAAATTTGTATTACTCCCTATGTACTATTTATTATAATTTGATTAAAGCTTCAGCGTACCTTAAATTATATCAAATTTGTGCTTGCACTAGTTTCTATAAAATCTTCATTCTATCAGATTATAATTAAATGTAAATATAAGCTAAACACAGTGAGTGGAGAGTAACTTAAGAGAGGAACTTATTTCTACATTTTATAAGAGTGCTTTTTACATCCTAATTCCATTAATGTAACAATTTGATGTATTAGTATGCGTTGTTATGGATCAATATTCATATTTAATATTACAAACGATGTCGTTCTCGGCGTAATATAGAGTGATAGACGTCAGTCTTGCTAGTCTCGGAAAAAATTCGAAACATAATAAAATAATTGATTTACTTTTTTAATAATGCATAAATTGTAATAGATTAGTTTATTAGATAAAATATAAATTTTAAATTAAGTGAGCGGTAGTTTTTTAATGAATTTTTATAACAAGCTAATGACGATTATTTGAAGATTTAGTTAAAATTTTTCATTTTTAGTTGAACTAACCGTTTTAAACATTTCCAAAAAAATATGAAAAATAAAGTCATTAATAAAACTATAATTAATTTATAATTGATGAATTTGTGCAAGTCATTTGAATCAATTTTTTAATTTATTGTACAGATATTGTAATTTTTCATTTCAATCATTTTAAAATAACGACGTACTGTTGCTGTTAATAATTCATGTATTTACTTCTATTATTATCTAAGTTTATATTACTAAATTATCGAAACTTAAGCAATCTTCTGAAATACATTAATACTTTTATATTAGTTAGCTGAGTAATAAGTAATTATATTACAGTCTTCTGTCCCATTACTATTCATAACTTTGAAAATTTAATCTTATTTATTGATTTATTGAAATTAGACTGATTTATACTTTATATACGTTTTATACATTTTAAAATTATATTATAAATAAAAAAGTTAGTATAAATTATAATAAATGTATATATATATATACTCTATTTCCAGCTTATAACGATGCAACAATAATTTTTTTTTATTGTAATATGAAAATTACATTTTTTACTATATAACGATCCACTAACTTTATGTTATTATTTTCACGAATTTTTATAATTGAATTATGTTCAAATGCAATACATGTAATTTTTGTCATGAACATGTACTTTTGGCAATACTTACAAAAAGGATGTATACCATTAATTACTACATATCCATAATTAATACTAACGCCACTAATTATTTATTAATTAATTAAGGCCATATAATAATCAATTTTAATATGTTGACTTTTGCTGCTCAAACTTGTACTATAAAATATGTATAAAAAATGAATAAATAAATAAATCAATTTATATGTGGCGAATACAACACGA